GCCTACCCACCCACCAAACCTAACCCAACCCAACTCTGCTCCACCCACCAACCACCATCCAGCCTACCCACCCACCAAACCTAACCCAACCCAACCTTGCTCCACCCAACCAACCACCAACTATCCTACCCACCCACCAAACCTAACCCAACCCAACCCTACTCTGCCCAACCAACCAGCCTACCCACCCACCAAACCTAACAAACTCTGTTCAACCAACCAACTGCCCACCCACCAAATCCAACCAAAGTTTACCACACCCATGACGACCCACTCACCAACCAGATAACCCACTAACCCACCCTCCCACTGACCCACCCTCCCACTGACCCACCCATACACCCAACCAACTGATCAAATTCATGCAAGGAACCATCCAAAGTTAACTCTCTTTTGTAACATACCTTCCACAATAAGAAGCTTTGTGACACGGACATGGTTTTAGTTTCAATTTTCCACTTCTTTTTTCAGGGCAGGTTTTGTTACTGCATTTATTTTTTGCATTTTGTGGAAGAAAATCTAGCATTGCCAACAGTTCCTTGGAGCCCACTACAACAGGACCCGTGAATGGTAATCTCTTTACTTCTGCATCTTCCCCTTTTTCTTTCCACTTCACAGCTTCCTCCATGTTTCCCTCAAGCATGTGTAGGAGTGCCAAGTGATAGTGAGCATGGGGGTACTTCTTGTCACACTCTGGTGCTTCTTGTAGATACTCCATAAAAAGCTGCTTGGCTTTTTGTCGGAGCTGGTCTTCTGTCCATGTAATGTAGTCCCCCTTGGGTACTCTCTGGTTTTCAGGTGGTTCAAATGTCTCCAATAATACCTCGTCAGGGTTGGGTGCATTTTCTTTGTTCTTTTTTTTAGCTGCCATATTCATGAAGCAATAGGCTAAAGGTAATTTTGCCTCAAAATAATTGGGACAACAATTCAGTGCTTCCTGGAAGGCTTGTGCACCATCCTTAAAGCAATCTGTAACAATGTATAGAGAGCCTAAGTGATAATAAAGCTCATGCAGCCAGCTACTGTAATCTCCTTCAAATTTGTATGGCTCTCCTATTGGAGGCTTGTCTGGCTCTGCTTTCTTAATCAAATAAATCAGATTTTTCAAAGATGTGGCCTTTTTGACATCTAGTTTGCAACTCTCCAAATTCAATTTTGCTTGCATGGGAAATAATTTAATGATTAGCAGTAATCCTTCAAAAAAAGTAGGATTAGTCTTAAGAAGACTAGAAATGTAAACAAATAATGAAGCTTTGAAGTGACTGGATCCGGTTATGTAAAGGAATGACTGTGTGATAGAATTTTCATACAGGACTCCCAATGCCATTCGTTTTATTGCTTCTGCATCTGTAAAGCCACTACTTTGAAGGTTCTCTAATCCTTTCTTTACAAGTCGAAAAGCTTTAAGATAGCGCTGAGCGGTAGGTGAGTCAGGGTACTGTGTAAATGTGACTTCCTGGAACATTATTGGATTCTGTATCACGAGAGGATGCTGTTGTTGCTCTACATTCATTTTCAAAATTTCACAATGTTGTTGAAAACTGCTGATTGGCGACAGTTCATCAGTTACTGGTTGTACGACTATGCCTTGTTCTTCTAGCTTCTTGAGAGCCTGTCAGCAAAAAATATTCTTTAACAAATACATATATGTAAAGATCAGTTATATATAGTGCTTAAAAAACTCAATGATAATATTCTGAGCATTAAATTTTGCTCTTACAATACGATGGTAAAAAAAATCACCAGCCTTGATGGGTTTAACAACTTAATGCACACATGGGTGGAAAAGAGCTTCTGTGTGATGCCTGATGGTGCAAAAATAAGTTGCGTGATTATATTTCCAAATAAGGTGCATGATATATGTGTGATCAGATATTGCAATGTTATGTGCGATGAGTGATGTTAAGATCAAATTAAATAAAATTGTGAAGTTTGCAAGAAGTAAGATAAGTAAAAAGGTTGAAGAAAGAAAATATGAATTTTCAAAAATTGAAATTTTGTTTCAAAAACTCATGAATAATTCATTCCAATTGGAGCGACCATACACGTCACGTGCATGGACCTTTAAACCCCATAAAGTCCTCTTCATTAGTATTCTTTATATAAAGAATACTAATGAGGATGAAACTTTATATAAAGTCTCATCCTTATTAGGTATTCTTTATATAAAGAATACTAATATGGACAACCTTATCGGAATAAAGGTGCCTCCAAGTTTAGATGAAGACGTACAAACCTCACTGCGCATGAAATTTCTGTACAAACGACTATCAAAGTATAAAAGTCAATGTTCGTGAGGTATATGGTTGCTCTACTTCAACTGAAAGGTCTGTGAATTATACTTAAAGTTTTTGAAGCTGTTTAATAAGCTTGCAGATCGTGTTTTATCGGGTCTAAAACCACTCGGCTATGCCTTGTGGTTTTAAACCCGATAAAACACTCCTGCTCGTTTATCATACAGTACATGAAAATATTCATTGAAGGCATCTTTTGCCTCCAGCTAAGGTTTTCTTACAAATTTGCACCTTTCAAAACAATATCTTCACAAGTTTTGTGTGTCTGTGCTCATATAAATGGCAACCCAACAAATGTGGAGGGGTGAAATTGGTCAGCATTTGAGCTACAAAGCTTTATTTGGATTGGGGTGTGGGTACAGTACTTATGGTGGGGCTGGGAGAATAAAAGAATATTCTTTGGAGAAAGAGAAAAATTGATATATTTAATTAGTTGCAAACATGGAATATAAAACTAATAATGTAATAAATCTGTAAAAATGTACTAATTTTTCTGTACTAAATATTTAGCAATTAGTACAGTCTTTGAGCCAAAAAGGGCTATGAGTCAATATCCCTGATGAGGCTGAAGGCTGAGTGTGAGAGGTCTATTTTTTTTAGTCAAATCCAACTAGTCGGTTAAATACATAGATGGAAACAATTTTTAAATTAAAGTTAAATTTATTGTTTTGCACTTTTCATTCCTAGTAGGCTATAACTTTTACCCTATTACTAGGTCATCCAATCAGAATACAGCTTTCATGATAGACCACTAGTTGGATTTGACTAATATAAAATAGAGCACTCTATTGTTTTCTATTGTTTCATTGGTGCCTTATAGCTTATTGTTAGTTATATAGTACTCTTTCATGGGTAAAAAGAGTTTGCACTCTATTTAGTAAATGTTTGACTGAGAGTATAGCCAAAATCCAGACATGTACTGGGAGTTGTCCAATTTGTATGAACATGAAATTACTCTAACCTGTTTTGCCTCTTGGTCATCACTGTTAGCTGCTTTTCCCAGCCATCTCTTTGCTTTGTTTAAGTCTTTTGGATTTCCACTCTCCCCAGTCAGATAAGATAATCCAAGTACTCTTTGAGCTTCAGGATCACCCAGCTCAGCAGCCTTCTTTAAGTAGTGTACTGCCTTAAATGGCTGAGGTTGCCCTTCTGGACACTCTCCTGCCATGTAGTATTTGTGTAGTCTTTTTAATGCTTCTAATTTTGCATCAATACCTAAATTTCTCATTGTCCCTTTTATTAAATAAGAGGAGGGGTTACTGGTGTCTCCTTGCTCATCACTGAATGGTTCTTCACCAGCTGCTCTTCTGTACCACTTGAAAGCTTCTTGTAAATCCTCATTGACTACCCCTTCCACCCCACATCTAAACATTTCTGCTACATTTGATGCAGCTTGTAAAGAGCCAAGACTGGCTGCTTGTACGTACAGTTCATATGCTCTTCTTTGATGACGAACTGTTCCTTTGATGTCGTGTAAAGTGCCAAGACTTAGGATACTTGTAGGGATGCAGTTGCCACCGTGTATGGAAGATTCGTACCAGCCTATTGCAGAATCAAGATCTTTTTCAATATTCAGTTCTGGTACACCGTATTGATAAGCCATAGCCAAATCAACTTGTGCTTGCCAGTCTTGGTCAGCCTTTGCTTTTTCTTTCAAGTCTTCTACTGATTTATACATCGATAAAATATGGTCTTTTAAATTTATGTTTGATCCATGATCGATTCCGGTTAGTGATTTGAACATTTGCTTGCCCAGTTTTGAAGTTTTTGCTTCCTCATAACGAAAAGCCATGTTTGTACTAAAGAGAGATGCTAGAGAGATGAGAAATGCGAGTAATTTACCACAGGAATTCCAACCCACAATATTTCGCCGAAGAACTACGCGACGTCCTATATAGCACTGTTTATGTGAATTCCACGTAAATCCTCATTCAATTTTTCAGACCTTCAAATGAAGAACAGGGGAAGAGAGAAATACAAAAAATTCGTACTATGAAGAAAAAGAAAACAAAAAGAAAAAGGGAGACAAAAAGGATTTCGTCCGAACAGCCGCGACAGGATCACGAATAATTAGCGAAGACAATTCGGGGAAGATTCGGGGTGATTTCCTGGAAAGATCATTCAAGCAGCATGCAAGTGTCTCCTGTCTCTCTCGGAGGGATAGCTGCTTTTGTTATGCTAGAGAATCTTGGATCTTACGCTATGATTGAGCAAGAAAGTCACAGAAAAAGGTAAAATGATAGTCAAAACAGTATAGTGGTCTTAAAAGAAGAAAATGTTTTGTCCAAGCAAAGATCGGGATCACGTAAACTTTAGCTGCTCTTTTCCCTTCTTGTATTCATTGTATTTGCCTGTTCTTACCTACCATAATCAATAAAATAGGTAGCCTAGTCACCTCTACAACAGCTATAGCTAGCTGGATATGTGTTGGGCAAATTATTAATTACTGCAATTTTCGTAAACACGCGAACTCTGTGTCTGCGACTTGCACCTTTGATATTTTTGACTGGCGCCAGCGAAAAACCAGCGTGCAACTCGCAGACACAGAGTTCACATGTTTATGAAAATTGCAGTAAGATGGTGTTACTAAAATAGAGAATGTGGAATGTGGAATGTGAGATGTGGAATGTGGAGGGAATGGGGAATGAAAGACTGGGACGAGTGATCAGCGGTATAACCCTTAAAAAGTGTCATCGTGCTTGCGCTTGCAATCTAGCTTTTATTACTTTACAGACGGAAAATCAATGATAGTCACAACGAGAACAGTTATGAAACTGAATATACAGTCCTTTGACTAAACTTTGTCGCTGATCGGCTTCATCCCTACGCGCCTAGACCGAATAGGATCATGGGGATAATTAATTCACAGTTACTAAATGCCGCATATGTTATCTAACAAGTCTTGAGCTCACTGTTTTCGATCCCATTTAATTTCCTAAAACCATGCCTCGAGCATACGGCGAAGATTTGTCACTGACTGATAGAGAACAATTAATTATTCATGTTAATTTACCCGTTATCCTTTTCGGTCTAGGCGCGTAGGGATGATCCGATCAACGACAACGTTTAGTCAAAGGACCGTAAATCTAAATACTAAAAGCAATACTTACTGATTATCACTCTCTTTTTTATCGAACGTTTTTTGTACAATTTCAAACCACTGCCATGGAACAATTGGAAAATTTTTAATTATAAAAAAAGGTAGATTGCAAGCACAAGCCCCATTACACTTTTTAAGGGTAATAACGCTGATCACTCATCCAAGTCTTCCATTCCCCATTCCCAGTCATTCTCAGTCTTCCCCATTCCCTGTTTTAGTAACATCCCAGTAAGCTTAACCTAATTATGGGGAACTTCATGATTCATGGCCTAATGTAGTCTCCCCCACAGCCGCTTTCAGTGTCGTCACACAACGCTTTCTCCCCTGGGTAGCTACTCAGGGGAGAAAGCGTTGCGTGACGACACTGAAAGCGGCTGTGGGGGAGACAAGGGCTAATGGGGACTATGTGGATTCTGAGTTTTAAAACGACATGTTTTTGGTATTGCCTCCCTTTACAAACCTTTTATTTTTTTCCCTCTTCTCAGAATCGTACAATATTAATCGACATAGAAATTAAATGAATCCCATTTTTGTAATAGCCTTCCCCCTTAAATTTTGACTGAAAAAATTAGCACCCCCCTCAAACCCATTTTAGTTATGAATGGTTCCTTAATTAAAGTTTCAGAGTGTGAAGTAAAAAACTGTTGCTTTAGTCATTGACATGGCAGGAACTGGAGCATCATCACACAAAATATTTCTTCCTCCATCACTGATTCCTGCAGCTGGTACACCAAAAACCCTAACCCTACCCTCAGCAGGTACACCAGGTTAGCAAATGAGTTTCTATTAGTTATTTTTATTATTTACTTTTTATAGGTTTATGTATTTACAAAAATGATACTATGATGCATTTTTTATTAGAGTGACCACAGTAAATCCATGAAACACTAATTACTAAATAGTACAAAATAGTGCTAGTTAAACAATAGAAAACAATGGAATTTGCATGAAATTGTGCTATTTAGTATTACTAAAGTTTCACGGATTTACTGTGGTCACTCTACACTATCATATATTTGGATTTTTGCTCAATGCATATTATAATATTCAATTTTCACAATCACTTAGTATTTTATGAGGAAGTATACATAATATGTTTTGTGAGAATTGGTTTGCTTTCCAGCTTTTTTGTGCCACTACGTCATCATTATTAACAGTCTTCAAATCTTCACTTACAGTTGTAAAACCTTTTTATTCAAGTTTGTATTTTCATGTTGATAGCATGAAAATTATCTAATATAAAATTCTATAATCATAATCAAAAATTTATAATTTGTATAATTAGTTTTTCAAAATATAACTTTTTCTTTCTTTTTCTTTTCTAAGAGCTAGAGCAGTCCTGGATAGGTGCTTTATATTTGTATTTTAGTATTTCCTTTGTATATTTTTGGATTGGAGAAAATCAAGCAAGGGTGTGAGCTTACTGGGGTTTGAACTTGACTTGAGTTTATTTTGCACACATATTTACAAGTTTACATTATAAACTACAGAAAAACACTATTAGAAATAAAGGAGAGTGAAAAATAAAAAATAAAACCCAAAATATTACAAAATCTGCATTAATTAAGTGTGCAATGGTGGTTAAAGTATGGTTAAAACTTTTGAGTTAACCACCATTTTTTTTATGGACCTATTTATACCTTTCAGGTGGATCTTTTAACCTAGGAGATGGCCAAAAAAGATGGCTTGTGACAGGTATTTGTCTCAATAAAATTCTTCTGCCAGCCCTAAGAGGTTTTGTTGGAACAGAGATGATCAAGCACTACACTCATCTGAGAACCACCCACAGCATTGACAAGCAAAGTCCCTCCAAATACTTGAAGACAGATAAAAAATATATGCTGAATTATGCCAGCATAAACAATACTGAAGCAAAACACAAAAAGAAAGTCCATCTTTATGACTATAGTATAAAATCTGAAGTTGACTTGGCTAAGCTGTACTTGCAGCCTTATATGGCTAAATTTACAGGTAAGGATGATTTCTCTGTGTTTTATCTTTTTTGCTAATAAAAAGGATGTTTTCAGTAAGTTTTTTAAGTTGCTTTTGTTGATTGCTTTGTTGGGATGTTGTGACTTTTAGAATTCCCTTCACTTAACCATTTTATTAATACTGACATGATTTTCTTATTAAAAATATGACCAGCCACTTATATTATGTGAAAGGCTAGTTTAGGTTGATAATAAAGGAAGCTTGTATTAAGAAAAAAAAAGAGAACGAAGACATAAAAGAAAGAAAGAAATGAAGAGAGAA